TTCTTTTGCGTAAAACTAAAATTCATGCCAATATTTTTCCATGATTTATAATAATTGGAGTAATGCAAATGCATATTTTCTAAAAAAAAGTCATTTTTAGTGAAATTTTGCCGGGAATGGGGCTTTAACATTTGCCCAATTGTAGATCTGTTATGAGGCTCTTCTGAGCATTGACCAGAAGCTCCCACTGCCATGGTTATTCCATTAATCTACTTTAGCAATTTCCACCTACAAATATAATTTTGTTTTTCCAGGTGAAGTCTATTGCTACAAAGTGTGGAGTATCAGATGAAAATGCCCAAATTGCTTTGCTAGACTATCTGTATGATCTTGGTGAAATTGTATTCATCCGTACAATTAAGGAACTACAAAATGATGTTGTTGTTAATCCATTGAGTTTAGTTGGCTATTGTAAGGCTGTCTTCACTGTCATCATTCCAGAGCTACAGGTTGGTAATTAACATTTTTATAATATAATAGTAACAACAGCAGCTACAAACACGCCTTAATAATAATAATAATAATACTAATAATAATAATAATAATGAACGCAGACAAAATTCTTGAAGTAAACCATTAAATGTACGTCCTCTTTTGGACGTTTCGATCCGTTTATCAATGGATCTTCATCAGACAATGACTGGTTTTTGCTAGTTGTTGACGTTTCCCAATGTAGTGGACCGCTCTCTACCAATACAGTAGTTTCAGGACTGATTAGTAGGTTGTAAATATTAGATAGTTTGTATGCGCCCTTTTTTCTGGTCATGCTGCACCCATGGTTTTGATATTTATAAAGTCACTACAGCCTCAGCACTTGCAGCAGCAACCACAAAAAGAAATAACTTGAGTGAATACTATTGTCCACATCAGTATTTGAATTTTTCTTTTTCTTGTACCTTGAACATTAAAATTATTGATGTTCTTATAATCACTTAAATAAATATTTTCATTTAAACCACATTGACTATAAATGTATGATAGCATCTTTTATTGACACAGTGTGTAAGTTGTTGTAGGTCTCATTTACTTCTTGAAATTGAATTCATGAGCACATGCTTGGAAAGTTTGATTGAACCATTTTTTTGGAAAGTTTGATTGAACCATTTTTACACACATTTTGCTAATATAGGTCTCCATTTAATTTCCTGTCATAAATGGTCACTTGTCTATGTGTACTGAATAAAAGCCTAAATTTATTTTTACTATTTTTTTTCTAATTGGATGGAGACCTCAATTTGTGCTAACATAGTATATTAATTTCAACAACTATTGTGCTGCTCTCACTTCATGCGTTGCTGTGTGTTGTAGCTAAGCAGCCAGATAACCGTTAACTCGTAATTCAATGAAACACAAGATGTAGGCCTAGTATAACATTTCCAATATCTTTAATCCTGTACATCTCAGTCGAATCAGAGTTGAATTGGTAAAACTAGAAAGATATGAATTATCATGTGATGTGTCTATACAGTACTGTTGCAGTAATTAACGTTAGAATCTGCAGTGATGAATGAAACGCAGCCCAAAGCTGTACGTGATTACATAGGTCCAAGTCTAAACAATAACACGTTTACGTACTGTATAGCAATAACATGCATAGTGATTTGAGGGTGCTGTTCCATAATGAACAGATTCTTAGCACATGCTACACAAATTTATAGTTTAGTGAAGATATAGATCGATGCAGGTACAACTTATTGTACGACCAGCATAACACCGCAACTGCTGACACAGTCTAAGCTTAATCTAGGCTAGGCTTACGGCCTAAACACCAGGTTAGATAATATGGACTTGCTAACAAGGCTAAGCGACAAGGTCTGCCTTTCACCAATATTAACCTACTCATATATCATATTTATATAACTGTATAACACTTACAGACTATAAACTAGCTCAGGCAAGAAATATAAGAGGATCCAAATCAGATTCATCAGCGTAACATGGCGATGAGATTAATCTGACTGCGTACATTCCAATAGATCACCAATAGAGGGGATGGTTCATTATTATAAAAGGAGAATAGGCATCACAACTATAGAACTTTGGTTCAATTATGAGGGATTTCAGTTCAAGAAATTTACCTGTTTCTTTGTTAAGGAAATTTGAGAAAACATGTACTTAATTGTTTACACAATTCTGAATTGGATTCTAATCTTCTATACAATTGCTAAACATTCAGAGTTTTCCATAAATTATAGACTTATAAATATCACATATTATTTGTTTTAAAGTCAGCAGTAATGAAGCAGAGTTGGAGAAAGTTGGACAAAGGAATATTGGAGGAACGTCTACTGAAGTTTCTTTGGAAGGATATTGTTGAAGATTTGGACAAGAACTTTGACTTCTTAGTGAAATTCATGGAAAGATTTGGACTTCTTTGTGAGAGACAGTCACCTAAGGCAAGTTATATATTTTTTTTTAATATGTATACTCTAACAAATAGGAGTACCTACACTATAAAATTGTGTTCAGTATGTTGTGATTTGAATTCTTTTTTTTTTTTTTATTAACTTTACTATTAATCTAAATAATCTGCTTATTGCAATACATAGTCATTGTTATTATCAAAATAACTTTTTTGATTTTATAATTTTGAAAACACAGAACTTAATACAGAAATAGTCATAGTCATATAATTTTTTTATTGCCCATTCATATATAAAACAGAAACATTATTTGAACCAGCATGCTCTACATACAAAAACTACCAAGACAAGAAAAACATCCATAAAAAATAGACAATTTGACCAATGTTATGTTATTCTATGAAAAATAACACAAAGCCTCATTATGTTATGCATAGAATTAAATTGTTACTGGTTAATAATTATGAATAAATCATTTACAGTAGGGAATTCTTATCACAAACATAAATACAAGGTTGTGAAAGTTGAAGTGTGTTCTTGACAACAATTGCACTACATTTCAAGCAAGTGTAAACTCTGTTTTTGTTTTTATTTTACTTCATAGGATTGTGGAACTACTCAACGTGTTTTTTACACTCCATTGCGCCTGAAACCAATAGCAGGTCAACAAAGACTCACAGAAGACTTTGGAACTCGTGCTATTAGCATTTTCCATGATTTCTGTGGCTACCTCCCAGAAGAACTCTTTCCACAGACAGTCACCAGGTTTATTGAGAAGTTCCAAGCAGAAGCAGGAGGTGAGCCTGAGTTGGCACATGAGTATGCAGAGCTCTACCTTGATGACAACCATTATGTGATTTTTTCTGTTGTCACTGTCAAACAACGACGGATGTTTAAGGTATTATTTCTTCAGTTTGTAGATATAATTATAATATTAGCCTATACAAACCAAAGAAATATGTTTTTATGTTAGTAAACCTTTTATTCAAACAGCTATCAGGGGCGGATTATCACAAAGAAAATTTTTGTTGTTGTTGTTGAGATAATTGAATGGATACTCAATTCCATAGAAATGTTGATTCTATGTCACATCGCGCAATGCATAGCTACAAAAAAACTTTAAGCGCAGATGCACCTGCATGGAAACTTTCATGCAATCAATCACTCTCTATCGAGGTCAGCGGGTATGTGCTGTCAGACAACCCCATGCACAGTGACCACAGTGCACATCTCCATTGACCCTTCAGTAGACTTACTCTTTTAATAAAGTACAGTTTTTGTGTAGACAACATTTCACACTTTTTACGTGTAAGTTTTACTTCTTTATTGTTTTCAAGTACAGTACCTGGTTTATTCATCATTGTGTAATTTACAAGATATACTGTATGAAATTGTATAATCCTGTAGGCCTACCTAAACCTAAGGCCTAGGCCTATTTTCAGTGGCCTATTTAGGGGGTGCGTAAGGGGGCGTACACACCCCCCACCCTATTTTTTTGTTAAAAAAAAAAAAATTACACCCACAGTCTTCTTTTCCTACCAAAAACACCCTAGGAGAGTGCTATTCATAAATCCACTTGGTGAGAACAGAACACTTGTAATTTACTCAATGTTAATATACAGTAGCGTATTTTGTTGATTGACAACTTTTTTTTAATGGATTTTGGATATTAGTTTTCCTTTTTGCTCATTTTGTGATTTTTATGCTCGATGTTGCTGAGAAACTTCATCATGTTTTCTAGAAGTGAAAATTCTCTTTTAAAATGGTGTACATTTATGAGCCTTTGCATGTTGTCAAAGATTATGTTTGAAATGTTCATGGAAGAGGCACTAAAACTCTCAGCTGTGAGTAGATAAATTATTATTAATTTAATGACACATTTCAAGGTTACATATTGCAGGTACCCGGTATATTAAAATTTCTTTTAAAAGGCATACACCTATTTTTTTTTTATTTATTACTGAAAACTACCATGCCAGATAGTCAAAATCGACTCAATACAACCTCATATTCCTCAAATGTGCTGGCTTCAAGGGGCCTTCGCCCCCTTGGACCCCCAGGGGCTCTGCCCCTGGACCCCGCTGGCCCTAGGCAGCCCCCCTGGGCCCCTCCCGCCTAAAGCTGCTCGCTCGCTAACACATTGCGCCCCCCCTCCCCCTTTTCCAGCAGGCTGGATCCGCCCCTGGCTAGCTTACCTAGAGTGCAGAAGTTTTCTCCTCGCAACTTTCCCCAATAATCATGTGGGGGGGCCCTGTTGGTGTTGTTACTGCTGGTGTGTTCCTCTCAGTAACACGTTGTAAACAGCTTAAATGCTGTGTACCGTCCACGATTTCTGTTCGGGGTGCTCCTGTTTCATTTGGTATGCCGGGCTGCCCATTCAAGATGAATCTAAAAGGGGTGGGGGGAAGGTCGGGGGTGCAGTGGTGTCACAGGTATTGTGGGGCTCATCGGTGACTGTTATTGGGGGATCTAATAAGTGAGCGTCAAGGTTTGTGAGTGGAGCGAGCAAATAGACGTTGGGGTCAAGGGGGCGCATAAGGACCCCGGTTAGGGTCCAGGGGGTGAAGACCTTGATGACGGTCCAAAGGTGCTGCGCCCCCTCGCGCTCAGAGCTTATAGCATTTATAAACTTTTAACTGCGTTGTCAGAGAACATAGAATGGTCCATGACTGATGAAATATTTTATGACAAAACCAACATAGATTACATAGGCCAACTTTCGAAATTGGTATAGGCCTATGTACTGTATGTAGGTGTAAATATATAATTGTACAGAGAAACAAAACATGTTATAATAAAGTATACAGTATACAATGCTAAGATGATGACAAAATCAGAAACAAATGACAAATATCAGAACCCAGCTTTTATTGTTTAAAATTGTCGGGGCCCATTGAATGGAACTATGGTGTTTATATTATATTTTTCGGGCTTA